TAACAGCTGGAAGGATTTTGGGTGAACAGTCAAATCCTATGGCAGATAAAGGAGCACAATTCTGTGTGTCCTTTCCCTCCAATGCAGCGAGCTGAGGGAGCAGAAAGGTTGCTCTGAATAGTTGCTGAAATGATCTTGGGACAGGAGGAGGAAAAATGCTTTTGGGAAGATGTTACATGGCAATATCTTCCTCCTAAAGTGAATCATCCTTTTCTCCTAAAGAGAAACAAGTTCAGGGGCTGGTGCTGATCCTCACATATCTCACCTGGACAAGCCTTTGCTTTGAAGGGACCTCACCTGGCTTCAGTCCCTGGGTTACAAAGTTTGGTGTTTGCAGTTCTCTCATTATTTTAGCTTTTTTTAGTCATTATTTTAGGTCTTTCATTATTTTAGCTATTTCAGTGATGAAGACAGGGCAGTGCCATCAGAGGTCATTCAGCCAGTCTTTAGTTGTTGGAAAAAGCCTGAAGACTGATTTTCCTGTAGGTGTTTCTCCAGATGTGGATACAGATGAGCTCTAAATACACTCTCACAGAGGTATCACAGCATAACCCTGTACACTCTTAAATATCCTTGATACAGAATGGCTGTCAGTCTGTCCTGAGCCCAAGGGAGCAGTTCCTTATACAGAAAGAGAAATTCCAGCTGGCCCTGGAAATGTGTTGCTGCCCAACAGACCCAAGGAATTGGGTTTTCCTCACCAGAAGAAAAATACTTTCTCACTTCCCTCTGCTCTAGTCTGTGAGCACAGGATCATTCCTTGCTGCCTGAGCTTGCTGTTCATTCTTTTTCCTTTTTGCACATTGCAAACACCTGCATAATTCTGAAATAAAGCAGTCACCACTTTACCTCTGTTCTGGGAAGCTTTTTTCTGCCCAGTACCCACCAGAAATGTGTGGTACCTCCATCCCTCCCTCTTCAGCTCATTCCATGTCCCACAGTGGACTCCCAGAAGTTCTGCTTTTTCTAACAGAAGCAGCTTTTTTAATTCTACATTCTGTAGTGAAGCAAATCACTTCTAAAATCCCTTGTTTATTCCCCCAGCCCTGCTTTGGGTATTTATCCTGTAAGTTTGGTGTATTTCCTTCTCCAGTGTGAGAGCACTGCACTGTGGGACTGATGGCAAAGCAGTTTGTGCCCTGATTGTCACCAGTGTCAGGTGTTTTTTTACAGGGAGGAAATCTAGATATGATTCATTTTGAAAATAAGGCACAGAAGGAAAAAAAAAAAAGTGATTACATTTTTTGTTTTGTGGACTGAAATGTCTGTGCTCCTCATAACCCTCAGAATTTGCAGCAGGCCTTGTGCTGTTTTTCAGAACGAAAATTGCCTTTTTTCCACCAAGGCTGTGAAAAAATAAGTTCTGAGAAATGTGAGCTCATCTGAAATGAAGCTTAAAACATTCTTCTTTGCTGCCTTGTCCCCAGCCTCCCTGACACCCTTGGACAAGAGAGGGAGGAGTGGTTGCTTTCTCTGTTCTTCTGAAGGAGCTGTGCACAGCCCTGGGCTTCTCCTGATGTGGTGATTTGGGCTCCAAGTGGCTGTTGAGGTTTCCCTGGTGGTGGGAAAGCCCCTGCTTGGGGCTGCCTGTGGACTCTCCAATATTCCACACATGGCAGTTTGTTTTTAATTCCAGACCTTCTCCATTTTCCCAGAATTCATTTAAACCATGTGCTGAAGCACACTGTTTGCCTCTCCTCTTTGCCCTGGATGAGGGAGGTGGCCTTTAAATCCTGCCCCTGGCCAAGAACATCCCTGGACTCGGGGAAGGTGGAGTGTGCTGGGGCTGGAACCCCAGTCCCTCTGGAGATGCTGCAGGCAGAGGTGGCTCCAGAGCAGCACAGGGTGCCCTGGCCTGTGTGGACAGAAGGGAGGGGCCGAGCTGAGGCTCAGGGTGCAGCCCAGGATGTCCCAGCTGAGCTGCCAGACCTGCTCCCCTCGCCCCACCTGCCTCAGACTCACCCAGCAGGAGCTCTGAGCAAACCCATCGAGTGCTGGGGGCTCTGCACCCTTCTGCCAGCCTGGCAGAGGCAACAATGCCCCTGCCTGGGAGGAGATCTGGGCAAGGAAAGGTGCTGAACTCGGTGTTTGCTTGCTGGACCAGGGTGTCCATCCAGCCACGTGCCCTCTGTCCAGGGCAGGCAGAGCATTCCCAGTGTAGCTGGGTCCTTTCAGCACCACTGTCCCCATCCAAGGCCTGGGGGTGTTTTCCTGCCGGAGGATGGACAGGCTCCACCAGGAGCCTGTGGGGCTCTTGACCACATCTCCACACATAAAACCTGGTTGAGGAGAGGGAATTGAAGTTCCTGTAGGTAACAAGAAGACAGTGCAGGAGGGATGTGACCACTGTGACAGACACTGCAACTGGCTCTCACAAATTCCCCAAAGGACAGTCCTGTTACAGCTGCAGTCACTGAAATGTTCCCAAAGTGCAGCACAGCCTGGAACTGTGATGCTCCTCAAAGTTAATGGGAGTTCTTCAAGTCAGTGGGGGTTTTTGTTGTGTCTCCTGATCAGACTGCATGAGTGCAGGCATTTTGGCCCCAGTGATTGATTGTCCATGTCCAGAAGCAATGGAAGGAGCATTTGGGACTGGAGGAACCCTGCTCTGCTGCTCTAATGCCCGTCCAGGCCAGCATGGGAAAAACAGAGCAGCAAAGCCTCCTGCACACGTGTGGGTGCCATGCTGTGCCACGTAACCCAAAGTGTGTCAGCAGCCTCAGACACTCCTGCTTCCTGTGCAGAGCTGCAGGGAAAGCAGCAGGGACTGAGACTTTGGGGGTGTTTCTAACCAGGACCGTGCTGCTTTTGCCACTGATGGGATGGCAGCAAACAGCAGCACAAGTGAGAACCCAGCTGAGGTCCAGGACACTTGGGAATGGGACCTTCCCTCTGTGGGTGGTGGGGAAAGTCTTTCACAAAAGCTTTATTTATTTTTTTTTCAAGCTCACACCATGTGTGTGTGTGTTCAGTCGAGCTGCTCAGTTTATGCTGGTCACTTTTCTCCAGAATATGCAGCTGTTGAATTAATTGTCTATGGGGTTGTTCTGGAGGGAATGGACTGGCCCAACCCTCATCTTCCCCCATCCCAGCAGGGCAGGGACAATTTACAGGAGTGCTGTGGGAACACTGGACCATGGAAAACGAGGTTGGGTGCAAATAGAATGGGATCCTTTACATTCATTCAAGAGCTAATGGGATCTAACACATCTTTGTATGTTTGAATTTTGATGTTTGAAGGGCTTGAGGAGGACCACACCTCTGTTAGGCAGGACAACCCAAAAGGGCCAGGAGCTGCCGGTGCCAAAAGATGAGATGGGGAAGAAAACTGGCTTGGCTGAACTTATGCCTGGAACTGAGGAGAAAAGAATAATTTCTGACTTCCGGAAGAACAGAGAGGTGATTTAGGACAACTACAGTGGTGTCATGGGGTTATGCAGGGAGAAAATAAGAAGGGTCAAAGCTTAACTTGAATTTAATCTGGCTACTGCCATAGAAGACAATAAAAAAATGTGGTTGTAAATACATCACCAACAACAGCAGGGCTAAGGAGAATCTCCCTCCTTTATGGGATGTGGCTGGGGACTGGTCACTTTTCCCAGGTATCAAGGGATAAGACAAGAGGAAATGGCCTCAGGTTGTGCCAGGGGAGGTTTAGGTTGGATATTATGGAAAATTTTGTCATTGAAAAGGTCATCAGGCATTGGCACAGGGCAGTGGTGGAGCCCCCATCCCTGGAGGGGTTTAAAGGGTGATGTGCACTTGGGGATGTGGGTCAGTGATGGCCTTGGCAGAAACTGGGGAAGTTGGGCAGGATGGCCTTAGAGGGCTTTTTTAGCCTAAATGGGTCTGTGGGAAAACCGTGCTCAGAGCAGGGGTGACCCCTCCTGGGTTCCCTTTCCTCTCCTGATGGACCAGTGCAGCCAGCAGGGAGCTCTGCGGGTGCTTTATGGCCCCAAGGGTGAATGAAGGGGTTGGGGGTGTCCCTTTCCCACCCCCTGCTGCCCCCTCACCCGGGTTCTCTGCACTGCCATGGACAGACCTCTCTGAGCACCAAAACCCCAGAACTCATCTCCTTGGGGCCCCACTCTGCCAGGAGCAGAGTGAACTCCCTGCAGGGGCCTGCCTGAGAGCTCCCAAAGCTCTCCTCCCAAAATAATGAATAAAATCAAACCAGTTGTTTGCTGGGAGGCCTCATCCATGCTCTAGAGCTGAGCTGGAGTGACCCAGCCCCAGCCCCTGATGCACTCAGCTCTCAGAGCTGGGTGTACGGCTCAGCAGACTGGAGGCTGGGCTGATTTCCATGTTCTTGACAACCTTGGTTTGGTTTTAGGGCTTTTTTCCCCCCTCCTGTTCCTCCTTCCAGTCACAAAGATGCCCAACCACCAGTCTGGTGCTGCTGCTTCTCACATTGGAGTGAACTGGTGACTCACGGCAGGATGGATGGACAGGTGGATGTTCAAACATCTCACACTCACCATGAACTCAGGCAGTTTTGCCCTCCAGGGCTGGATGGTGGCTTGGAGAAACCTGGTTCAGTGGAAGATGTCCCCAGGACATCATCTTGAAGGTTCTTTCCAACCCCAACCATTCTGGGATTCTGGGATTGTCCCCATGTGGTCACTGGTCCCTCCTGACACCGCTCTGGTGCCAACCAGAACAACACTCTGCTTAAGGAGCAGTCTTCAGCACTGCTGGCTTGTGCAAACTGGCAAAGCAGCCAGATTTTTCCAGTCTGTTATGAGCTGGACCAGTGCAAAGTCCAGAGATTAAAGGCCTGGATTTGGCCCCTGCTCTCCTACATCAAAGAAGTTTCCAAGCCTCCAGAGGAAAATCCCAGAACCCCCGTGAACACAGATGTTCTGCTCAGCCCTTTCCCCTGGGCAAGGGAAAGTAAATCCTGTGGGCAGAGCTGAGTCTTGGAGAGGGGAAAAAAGACTTGTCTGGAACAGAGGAAATGAGTGTGTGTGCATGGCAGAGAGAAGAGAGGGGAAGCAAACTAGATTTCTTTCTTTTATTATACAGGATTGTATGTACAAGGTCACCTCTCTCCCAAACAGCAGCAGCACAGTCAGTTCACAGCCAAACCTGCAGCTCATCTCTCCAGGCCTGGAGAACAGCTCGGGACAACTCGGGGCAGACCTTGCACAGGAACAAGGGCAGGGCAAGCACGGGGCTCCCTCCAACCCCTCCCCAAGCAGCCCAAACTAAGAAATGCAAAGAAAACTTTGTGCTTCAAGAGCCACGTGTCCTCCAGGACGGCACCAGGGGCAGGGAAGTGTCACCCCTGGAGCTGTTTTCCCTTCACCCTTCCAGGAGATGCTGTGGATGAGGTTGGAGCACTGGGAGCACGCAGGTGTTGTGTGGGAGGGACTGGCCGGGGGAAGGTGTGGACACTGCTCTGGTTCCAAGCACGGATGTGTGTGCTGTCCTGGAGGGGAAGGGCAGGCAGGACACAGCAGCTCTGGGTAAAGCTGCCCGAGCTCCAGTCCCGGGAAAACGGAGCCCAGGAGGGAGAAACGAGGAGGAGGACGGCCGAGGCCTCTCGGGTGCGGGGGTCCCACGATGAGCCCTCTGCTCACAGCACGGGGCAGGGGGCAAAGCAGCTGGGGTCTGGGGAGCAGGGGAGGTGCTGGCACACCCTGCTCGGGGTGTCCCCGGCCTCGGGCACGCTGTCACCCTGGCGCTGGAGCTCAGGCAGGAGCGGCAGCACCGCTCCCCTGGCGTGTCCTGACCGGGGCAGGAGGAGACGTGGGCAGCCAGGGAAGGGGCTGATGTCTCTGGTTCCAGGCTGCAGGAGTTGGGTGCTCCACATCCCTTCTGGGGAGCAGCTGGTCCAAGGAAAGGGTCTCATCTGCTCACACCCCTCACTCTGCAGAGGCTTGCTCAGCTCTCACATGGTGGAGGATGAGGACACCAAACCACTGAGGGTGACGTTTGCTTACTTTCTCCTGCTTGGGATCACTTGCTTTCCTGCAGCTTCCTCTCCCCTATCCCTCTTCGAGTGGCTTCCCAGAGCACAGCAACTGCTCCAGCACCGACTCCTTTCCACCTGGAAGTGACTGTGGACACACAGCAGCTCGTGGGGCACAAGAGAGGTGACAGGAGGTGGCTGTGCTGGAGGACAGCTCACCCCACAGCCTCTGACCCAGCTGGATCTTCAGCACAAGAACACAAACTGTCCAAACTGAGACACTGCTTCTCCCTGTTAGGAAATGCTCTGGCTCTCACCTCGCAGAGGAAAAATGTCTTTACTGGGCTGGGCTGAGCTCTCTCTGCTCTCCTGCAAGCAGCTCTAGAACACCTCAGGACACTTCTGCTCTCTGTGGTGACTCTGGGTTGTGCAGGTCTGGCTCCTGCCTCCTCTGCTGGCTGCAGAGCTCCGAATCCATTGCAGGGGTGGTGGGGATCTGCTGGGAGGATGAGTTTTCTTTGCCTTTGCTTTACAGATGGATGGAAGATGTCGGGCCATGTTTCTCCTTTGAATGCCAGGTAGAGATGACAGCAGCCCTTCCATTCAGCTTGTCTTGCTCAACGTGCCAGGACAGGGTTTAGCCTCGTGCTTTCCTCACACTGCTGCTCACAGCTGCAAGGAGAGAAGGGGGAGCTACAGCACCGTCCTTGAACCCCAGAGATTTGTCACTCAGGAAAGGGGGTGAAGGGCTGGCCAGTGACCCAGCTGAGCAGCCAAGCTCCATGCTAGGAAAACACAGAGATCAGTGGAAAAGAGCTTTTCCTGAAGCAGCAACCCCCCAGGCCCAACAGGAGAGCTTTGGCTCCATCAGCAGCAGGGAGCTGTACCTGGTTACTGTAGCCTGGCATCCTCCACGTCTGTGTAATGGCTGTTCTCCTGCAGGGAAAAGGGAACCACAAACAGTGAATCACCCTCCTGCCCTGCCTGGGACACTGGGACACCTCACACGTGGTCACCAGCTGGTGCCCTGCTGTGAGAGAGCAGTGCCAGGGTGCTCAGTGTGATGGAGGAGCTACAGACCACAGCTGGCATGGACACCGGGGCCAGGGCTGTGCTTTCTGCCACAACACAGGCCCAGGAAAAAACACAAATTTCCTCTGGCTCCTTGTTCTGAAACAGCTCTGCCAAACAGATCTGGGGTGTGGAATTCCCTCCAGGGCTTGGAAGTAACAGAATCACAGAATCATTTAGATTGGGAAAGACTTCCAAGATCACCAAGTCCAAGCAGTAACCCAGCCCCTCCATGTTCACTTCCCTGGGCAGCTGTTCAATGCCTGGCCACCCTTTCAGTGAAGAAACTTCCCTGATCTCCAATCTAAACCTCCCCTGGCAGTTTGAGGCCATTTCCTCTCATCCTGTTTCTTCTTCCCTGGAACTACCCAGTGCTGCCAAGGTGCATCAGTCCACAAAGGCAAATCAGTGTTCTGAATTCTGCTGCTGAGCACAGGAACCGGTCCCAGTTTGCAGCAGAACTCATTCTCCAGGACAGTAACACTCATCCATCACTCCAAAGGCCACAAAAATGGTGCTGAACTGGTGCTCCCCATGCAGGGGGTTTGGAAAGCACAGCATGTGTTTGCACTGACTTGATGGTCTTGGAAGTCTTTTCCAGCCTTTATGGTTCCCAGTGGAATTTCCTCCTGGGGCTGCTCTGCAGAGCAGCATCACTGGGGGAATGGGGTGCTCAGCAGTGCTGTTTAATCTCCTGAACAGGGTGAGGACTTCAGGGATGGAAATGGATCCAGGAGTTGTCTGCAGGAGACATGAGGGGCTCCAAAAGGAAAGGCAAGGGAACAGGCTGAAAGCCAGGGGAGGTGGCCTTGCCCTGGGCCCAGCTGCAGTGGGATGTGCCTTGGAGCAGGCCTGAGCCAGCTGGGAGCCTGGGGGGAGGACCAGGGCCAGCCCAGCGAGGGTGACACTGTGACAGGCATCTCCTGCACACCCTGGGGTGACCTCCACCACCCTGGCATCTGGGGGAAGGGGCAGGGCTGGAGCAAGAGACAGGAGACTTTTGGAGAGCATTGAGAGTAAGTTCTGACCCAGCTGAGCAGGGGTGATGTGGTTCTGGTTCCTGATGGCCAAGGACACCTGGTCAGGGTGTAAAGGTGGAGAGAAGCCTTGGCTGCAGAGCCCACAGGCCTGTGAACCTGAGCACCCTGAGTGAAGTGACCAAGAGCAGGATCAAATCCCTGAACTTAAGAGAGCAGATTTTGGGTTGTTCAGGGGTCTGACTGGTAAAATCCCATGTGAGACTGCTCTGGAGGCCAAGGAGGCTGGGACACCTGGACTGCAGTGGTGTGAGGCTTCCAGTGGCACCCAGCACCAACCCCAAAAACTGTTTAGATGCAGACTGGGCAGATAAATTACCAAAACTGCATGAAAGGTAAAACAGAAAAAAATCTGACTGCAAATTAACCACTGTGCTATAAATGCCTGAACACATCAGGAGACTTTTAGCTTTCCCTCCAGAGCAGCTGTCTGTGTGCAGGGATCTCCCCTTGAGCAGGCCCATCCCTCAAGACACCCCACAGCTGACACCAGGCATTGATGGGCTGGCAGGTGACATTTTTTGCACATATGTGACATTTGAGGCAAGTACACAATAACTGTATCCCCTACTAGGTGTAGTAAATAGTACAGACCACCAATCCAGCTGCACTTACTCAACATTTTCCAAATCCAGATTTATGGCTCAGAACTCAATGAACTCCCTCAGCTCTGTCTGAGTGACCTCTGTCTCTTTTTCTGCCACTCCCCTGCCCCTCAGAGCCAAAGAGATTTTAGGGACCCCATGTGGGTGCCATGCCCATGGACAGCAGGTGGTGACAGCCACACTGGGGTGTGGGATAAAGGATTCCACAGAACTGGGGGAATTCAGAACTGCTCAGTGCTGTGAGCTCTGCTGAGCTGCCTTGCAGGGCTCGAGAAGCTCGCACATGAGCTGCACACACTGCCCTGAGCATCCAGAGCACTTGGGAGCCTGTCTGAGGCTGGCAGTGGAATGTTTCTGGTCTTGATGCCACATCAAGACCAGGGAGCTACAGAAAACAGAAATGTAAGTGAGCTGAAACAATCATCTTTTTCTTCTTCTCTTAATGAGGACCAGCTCTTCCTAAACCACTGCCAGCAGATGTCTCTCCACTGTTTTCTTACCCCAGCAAAGGCACAGAAGTGCACTTTTTTTGTTGACAGGCTGTGTGCTGCTTTAGCATCATTAACATCAGCAAGTTTCCCCCTAATTTCTACCATCTGTTTGCCCTGATGTAACTCAAACCTGGCCTTCCTTTTCCTGTGCCTTTCTTCTTCCCAGTGCCTGGTGTGACGTCTGTCCTCCCACAGGACTGACGGACTCCAGCCACAAGGCCCCAGACCTGCAACAGCTGAAGGAGCTGGTTCAGAGCCCTCACCCATCATGGCTGGAGCAGGACAGAGCAGGAGAGCACAAACCAGCTGGGAAAAATTGGAGCTGGAGGAGTTTAAGGCCTTGGGAAGTGCTGTGGGTGTGCAGTGTGGTCACTCCAGGGATGGGGGGTGAGGAAGAGGAAAGGGACACTGAACTTCATCCTCACTTCTGCTGCCACCAGTGCTGGGGTGGGGAGGGACTGGAGCTGTTCCAGGGACCACTCAGGGCAGCTCATATCCTTTTACCCTGCAGCCCTGCTGCCCTCAGCCTGGATCTGGAGCTGATCCTGCTCTCAGCAGTTTGGGTTTGGGATAAATGTCAGTGCTGCCAGTGTTACCACAGTGCCTGGAATGACCTGTTCTGCACCCAAACACTGGGCTCCCATCCAAATGCACAGATTTGTCACTGGGTTCACCAGGAACACCCTTGCTTGGGGCAGGACTAGGAGCAGTGGGGCTGACGTGTGCCCCACACACCGCTGGGGTCAGATCTTGGCTTGTGCCATGGGACAAGTGCCTCTGGAGAGGGACTTTGGATAAGGGCCTGGAGTGACAGGACAAGGGAATGGCTTCACATTTCCAGAGGGCAGGGTTACATGGGATATTGGGAAGAAATTCTTCCCTGTGAGGGTGGGCAGGCCCTGGCACAGGGTGCCCAGAGCAGCTGTGGCTGCCCCTGGATCCCTGGCAGTGCCCAAGGCCAGGTTGGATGGGGCTTGGAGCAGCTTGGGACAGTGGAAGGTGTCCTGCCCATGGCAGGGGGTGGAATGAGAAGTTATCTCAGGTTCTTTCCAATCCAAACCCTCCCATGACTCTGTGGGTGTCTGAGCAGCTGCAAGGACACTGCAAATGCAGCTCATCTAACACAGCCTGTCTGCTGTGTGTTTAAATCTACCTAAGGATCACTTGGGAACAGAGCACCTTGGTTTAAACCACTCCTAGCTGTGAAATCAAGGATAAATGTCTGAATTTCAAGAGCCAACTGTGTTTCTTCAGCATCTCCACACATGCTTGCATGGAGAGTGCTTCTGCAGGCAGCAGAGCAGCTTGGAAGCTGTGAGCAACAATCAGATTTAAATACAGTGATTTCTTTGGAGGAAGGAAAAACTACTTTTCCTGGAGATTTGGCAAGTTCCAGTAAAACTGTGGCCCACTACTGGCCTCCTTTTCTGCAGGAGTGCATTATCCAAGCTCTCTTACCAGTTCATCTTCACACTCCTCCCGTGCCAGCCCCTCCTCCTCGCCCTCATCCCCATTGAGCGGCTCCTCGGCGGTGGCCTCGGCCTCGGAGGCCGTGTCCTCCTGGGACACCTCGCTCTTGCTGCTCTCCGCCTTCTTCCGGGCCTCTGTGGGGCAACAGTGGGATCAGGGCTGGATCAGGGCTGGGATCAGGGCTGGATCAGGGCTGGGATCAGAGCCCCAGCCTGGGCACCCTGGGAGAGCCCCACAGGCCTGGGCAGGGAAATGGCAACGATGGAAACGCTCCCTGCAGCCGGGAGCTCTGCTGGTGTGGAGGAGGCAGCCTGGGACACCATGGAGAGGGAACAGCAGGTCCTACAGCCCCCAGCAGGATAGGGATGGGATAGGGATGGGATGGAATGGGGATGGAATGGGGATGGGATGGGGATGGGGATGGGATACGGATGGGATACGGATGGGATGGGGATGGAATGGGGATGGGACAGGGATGAGGATAAGATAGAATAGGATAAAACAGAGATAGGATAGGAAATGAATAGGAAAGGAATGGGAAAGGAACAGAAAATATGCAGAGCAGAGCAGAGCAGAGCAGAGCAGAGAATAGAATAGAATAGAATAGAATAGAATAGAATAGAATAGAATAGAATAGAATATAGGATACGATAGGATATAACAGAGTAAAACAGAATGGTAGAACAGAAAAAGCCAACTAAAAAGTATAAACTATGTGACAAAAGGGGAAAAAAAATCTCATAATTTTAAACCCCAACTTCATAATTTCAGGAATTTTGATGTGTAATTTGAGCCTGTGATTCTACTCTGGAAGCTGGGGGTTGACACTTCCCTGTCAGAGCCTTGAAGAAGGTGTGACACCCAAGGCCAGCCCCACACCCCACTGACCTGCAGACAGCTTCTGCTCCTCAGCAATCTGCTCCAGCCGGCCCAGGAGAGCATCAATGTTGGATTTGATCTGTGTCAGCTCAGTTTTGATTGTCTGCAGCTCGCTGCTCTTCACTTGGAGGGGAGGAAGGAAGGAAAGGAAGGCACTCAGTGCCCTGCAGAGCAGCCCCACCCCACGCCCAGGGCACCTCCCTGAGCAGGCAGAAAGGAACCCCAGGCTGGAAACTTGCTGGGAGACTGGCAGAGGAGCTGGGGGACTGCTCCCAAAAGAGCCCATGGGTGCTGTGTCCAGGCAGGCTGTGGAGGCTGACCCCAGGCTTTGGCACGCTCAGGCTGTACTGATGCTTCAAGTTTTAGCTTTCATATTTTCCATACTCTGCACTGCATTGGTACATAACTCTGAACTTCTGATAGTGTCAGCAAGTTCTCCTCAAAGCTCAGGCAATCCTTTCCCAGCCCCAGAACCAAGGAAACCGCTGCAGCTTTGGGCCCAAAAAGTGCAAACAACAGCGAATTGAGGAGAGCAGTCTGGGAGGATGGGACTGCATCACCTGGAGCTGGAATAGCACAATTGACCCCAAAATGGAAATGGACCAGAACTGATGAAAGTTTAACTCGTGACTGGTCATCCATCTCAGGTGCAGCCTTGACTGGGTTCTTGCACTGCCCAAGGTGCATCCTTTGAGGGCCTTTTAATAAATCCCCACTTCATCCCTTTAATTCTGTCCAGCCTCTGTTCCAGGCACCTCTCAAGTCATCAGTGCCTGCACCTCCCCCAGGTTCACCCTCACAGCTGGGCTGCTGTTCGCCGGTGTTTGGGGCTTCGGGAGGTTTTTTGGGAGGTGTCCGTGCTGCCCCACACGTGTCCCCAGCCCTGGCCCATACTCACACTTGAGCCTGGCCGAGCTGTTGGCGATGGCAGCCGACCTGGCGAAGAGCTTGACGGGCAGCGAGGCCTTGACGCGCCGCACCAGGGGGATGGTGACCCGCGGCCGCTTCACCGGCACCACCCGCGGCACCGGGGACACCCGGCCCCGGTACTCGAAGATCCTGAGGGGAGGGGAGGGGAGG